TTTTTGATAAACTTCCGCTTTATTAGAATTAAAAACAAGGAATACAAGGTGATTGAAAATTCACCAAAGAGAAAAAACAAGGAATACAAGGTCTGTCAGGGTTATGTTTTTCATTACATGTTAATATATCAATGTAGTTCAAGGCCGACTATAATGTCATCATCTAGCAATGTTGCTCACACCAGTGACCAGTCAATCCAGAGTTCCAGACCTTACATCGGCCAACAAATGTGCATTGGCCAAAGCTCAAAAAATATCACTCAATATTTTAACTTTTTTATTGACTAGAAACATGTATCTACAAACTCAATTCACAGCTTCATATTGAAGTGGTAATCTTCTTAGATAGATCTGGTCTCAGTTTGTCTCTTATCTTAAAAGTTGACCTTCTGAGAATGCAGATTACAGATCATGCTTGCAAGAGTTAAATAATGATAGTTTATATTGAAGTGTTGATATGATCATTTCAGTAATGTGTGATTCTTCCCATTTATTCAAAGTTTAACCTTCCATTCTTTGCTAGATGAATTGATGAGTGCAAGAGAGCACCCAGCTATTGCAGGTGGAGTAGCTGTTGCAACAGGCCTCCTTCTAATGAGAGGTGTTAACGTAATCTTCACTGTTATTATATTCCACTTAATTTGAGTTTGCATCTGATATCGACCTGTGTTACTACTTGGGTTAGGGGTGGCAATGGGTTGTGTCAGGTAGAGTTTGGGTTAGGTTGTTGTTGGGTTGCGGGTCAAATTGGGTCGACATGAATATGGCCCGATCAGAAAACAGGTCAAATTGGGTTGACACGAATATGACTTGCGGATTACACGACCCAACACGAGTGACACGCTACACAGTTGCAGATCTTCATCAATCGGGGGTCAAATCTTATCTTCTTGTTTTTTTTTGGTAATCTTCTTGTTAATTACCAACATATATCCAGTCATCCAGGTAGCAAGAATCGAGCTTGCTTCCCTAAGTTTATCTCTCTATTCTTCACAATTTCATCTTTCTTCAAAACTTCAATAACTTAGAGCATCTCCAATGCTACACTAAATTAGTGATTTCACTAAAAAAACAACAAAATCCATCTTCAATCCTACACTAACTTTAAGATTTCATTAAAATTTTACTAGAGTTCCACTTAAGTTAGAGAAACTTTTAGTGTTACACTAACTAGTGAGGCGAAACTCTTAACATAGCGCGATGGTCACAATCTCGCTTGTATTTTTTTATTTTTTTAATGTGTGGGTCCCACGTGAGAGAGAGAGATAAGAAGGAAAATACAATTGTTTATACCATGCGACACCCTTAACATCGCGCGGAAGTTTCAATCTCGCTTGGAATCTTTTTTTTATAATTTTTTTGATTTATTTAAACTGTGGGTCCCATATATATAGTGGATG